GGAATCAAACCGTGACCTCCTCTTTCATAGGTTGACGCTCAACTATTGAGCTGCACTGGCCAGGCTCCTTAATAATTTTTAAGTACATTTTATTTTGCACTGAGTTCCACAAATTATGTAACTTCTCTTACTTAAAGGTTTTCAAGCCCTGGTTAATTGAATCACCCGAACTAGCTTATCAAAGACTGCTTTATACAGAGAAATCACAGTTGATTATTCTATGTCAAGAACCTTTCATCCCAGTATTTAAGGCCATTTAGGAAAGAGTATTTCAAATCCTCCTTCAGCATGTATTAATAAATACGGAATTCAGAGCAAAGGAAGTTGGACCAAGTTGCTCTCCCTTTTTGAATATCCTTAGGGATATTTCTGTTTAACCCAAGAATAGTCATTTAGAATCTATGTTCATGGTAAAACTAGTCTACAATCTCCCTTTCTTACATTGTCCCTGACAGCTTTTGGTATAAAGGTTATGCTAATCTTCTTATAAACCTGGGTGTTTGAATTAGTTGGAACTATTTTGCTCTCCAGGAGGGCTGGCTGGGAGTAACTACCACATTCACATGGACGTGTTTATCTTGACAAGGACCCTATTGCTGACATTACTGTATGGCAGAGGCAGGCAGTGGAGAGAGCCTGGAGTCCAGGATATTTTAAACATAGGTGCCTGGGAAAGAACAATAAAGAGCCATGAAAATAAACTGACCATTTTGTACTATCTCCTGGGGCCACCTCTGGGTTCAGAGAGTGTATTGAAGAACATGCTTCAGGCTGCATGTTCTTCCTTCAACAAGTACTTACCCTCTTTTTCTCCTATGGTCACATCTACTCTCTGTCCTTTTAATACCCGGCCCCTCAAAATATCTTATGCATGAAATGCAGTGCTTTTTTAAAAAACGTTGATAGCATCAACAAAATTTTAAAGGCTAATTTCCTCTCCCATTATTGTTTTGACAATAATCAGGGCCACATTTGCGACCTAACTGAAATACTAGCTTGCTTTTAATCCTCTAGGAATTAAAGCCAGTATTTTATTTCTTTTCCCATCCTGATCAGTCCCACCATTTAGCGTCTTTCAGGGCTTTAATTGTACAGGACAGAAAAACAATAAAATTATGCTTTACTCTTCCTAGAGTAAGAGGCCTGTAGTGCCCATATATCTATGCAGGCACACATGATAGGTATTTTATTGTGTCATTCAGTTTTCTTCAGAGTTATTGAGCACTGGGAGGAGCACTGGTTTGGGGGCCAGTCAGGCCCATTTTAGGTCCATGCTCTATCCACCGAGCCAAACTGGCTAGGGCTCTTCCCCTTCTTTTGGTTTAGATTTTTTTCTGGTTCTGTATCACAAACTTAGCAGTATTTACTCGAATGATAAAAAATAAAATGTCCAAAAAGGGTCATCTCTTCTGTATCTTGTTTTTTCTGTTCCATAGGAAGCCGAAAATACTCTCCGTCTGATGCAGAACAAGCTGAAGGAAGAAGAAAAGCGACTACTCAAGAGTGGAAGTAAGTCTATACTTTTTTTTTTTATTCTGGAGTAGCATTTTTAGCATTGAAAAATTTATATGTATATTTTCTTTTCAAAAGGCAATTTTCTCACAACTTTTATATCTGGTACCATTTTATTTCAGTCAAGAGCTCAAGAGACTGGTTTAAATTATATAACATTTAAAGCACATTTGGTTTTTTATGCCAACTAAAATAGTGTTTTCCTCTTTCTAAACGATAGTTTAAATATATATAATATCTACACTAATAAAAGAGAAACATGGTAATTAGCGTACGACCGCTACCCTTCCCATTGGCTAATCAGCATATCCTTATGCAAATTAACTGTCAGCCAAGATGGCGGCTGGCAGCCATGCACTGAAGCGAACAGGGAGGCTTGCTTGCTCCAGTGACTGCGGACTCCAATGTTCCCCGCACTTGTCGGCCTCTCAGCTGCAACTCTAAGCAACTATGTTGCAAATATAGAAGCTAAACAAAACCCCAGAAACCGGCTTTCAGTCAGCCAGCCTTCAGCCAGCCTGACCGCAACATTGTATAAATGTTTTCAGCAGCGAGGCCTCAGAGCTAAAGCTGGCCCAGAATAAAAAGAAAAAAAAAGAAAAAAAGGAGCGGTTGGGAGCTTTTAGTCACCCGCCAGCCGGAAAACAGCCCTCAGCCCCTCAGCCAGCCTGGCCAGGCACCCCAGTGGGGACCCCCACCCTGATCCAGGACACCCTTCAGGGCAAACCAGCCGGCCCCCACCCGTGCACCAGGCCTCTATTCTATATAGTAAAAGGGTAATATGCCTCCCGGCACCGGGATCAGCGTGATAGGGGGCAGCACCCAAACCCCCTGATCGCCCTGCGGCTCTGTGTGTGACAGGGGGCGGGGCCACAACCCCCTGATCAGCCCTGCTCTGTTCGTGACAGGGGAAGGTGCCCCAATCCCCTTATCAGCCCTGCTCTGTGCCTGATAGGGGGGAGCTCCCCCATCCCCTGATCGCCCTGCGGCTCTGTGTGTGACAGGGTGCGGCGCCCCAACCCCCCCCCGCCCACACGGGCCCTGCTCTGTGTGTGACAGGGTGCAGTGCCCCAACCCCCTGATCGGCCCTGCTCTGTGGGTGATAGAGGGCGGCGCCCCAACCCCCCTGATGGGCCCTGCTCTGTGAGTGACAGGGGGCAGCGCCCCAACCCCCTGATCGGCCCTGCTCTGTGAGTGACAGGGGGCAGCACTCCAACCCCCTGATTGACCCTGCTCTGTGAGTGACAGGGTGCAGCGCCCCAACCCCCTGATCGCCCTGCTCTGTGAGTGACAGGGGCGGTGACC